CAGCGCCCCTAGAGGACAGAGTGGAACTGCACCAGAGGGTTTCCAAGGCTGTGATCTTCATGGAAGCCGACAGCCTGCCTTATCTTTTTCCCACTGAGCAGCTGGTGGTTTGAACCACCCACCTTTAGGTTCGTAGCCAAGTGCTTAACCACTGGGCCACCAGGGGCACCCTCAGCTCACATTGGCAGGTGACAATGTGAGCCCACTTTCCAAGACAGGCTTCTCTGGCAGCTGGAGGGAGAAGGTTCCAGGCTCCACTCCAAATCGGAGTCTGGCCTCCTTGCACCCAGGGCTGAGATTGCTGGCAAGTGCCAGGGCAGATGTTGACAGCTGGAGCGGCCCCCCAGGCTTTCCCAGGCAGGTCAGACACGGAGTGCTGGAGCAGCCTGACGGTGAGGCCCTCAGAGGGACACGCGTGCCCAGGTCCCACGGCAGACAGCACTCACCACGCGCTCCTGGACGCACCAAGCCTAGGATGCGGGCTCAGTGCGAGACGAGGGAACGCGGTAAAAATAACACCCACACCGGGCGCGCCTCCCTGTTGGCTCTTTCACGACTGCTTCTCTGCTAAAACGAGGGCCTGGTTATTTATAACTAACCCAGATCTGCAACAGCTTGTTCCAGGGGGAGGGGCAGCGCACAGACCCCTAGGAACGCACTTGCAGCCTGAGGGCTGTGGAGGCAGGGCTTGAGGGGCAGGCAGTAGATAGGAAGAGAAGAGCCAGCCGGAGGGGGTGGCATGGGTACAGGCCAGAACCTGGGCCATCGGGGTCTGTGTTCTAGAGACGGAGAGATGCCACCATCCACCCACGGGAAGCAGGGGGACAGTGGGAGAGTCGGCTGAGGACAGGACAAGACACGCCTCCACCGGAATTCCAGGGCTGTCCGCCCCAGATGGGAGATGGGCCAGGAGCTGGGGTCGGGTCCATGAGAACTTAGGAGTCTTTGGGCAGCACCAAAGGTGAACATGGTCCAGAGGCACCTCAGAAACAGGTCTGACGACCTTCAAGAAAACAGCCATTAAAAACCCTGCGGACAGGCGTATGGTGACCCTTGACACCAGGTAGACACACTCCTTAGATCAGCCATGGGAGACCAGAAGGGCAGGGTGTGCCCAGGGAGAGGGCTGGGACGGGTGGGGCGGGAGGGCATGGGAGGGAAGGCCACAGGGAGGAGGGAACCACAGGGAGGAAGCGGGAAGAGAGCTGTTCCATTGTGGGGATTGCAGTCACTGTCATGAAACAAAGTGTGTGTGAAAGTGTATGAACTGCTGTATGGAAAATGAATGTGCTCTGGAAACTTCCACCCAAATCACAATTAAAAAAAAAAAAATCTATGCTGTGGAGCACACTGACACCCAGGTGGTTACCAGGAGTCAGAATCCACTTGGGGCAACTGGTTTAGGGGCTCCGGGAGCCAGGAACGGAGGGCCAGGGAGTGGGGGCAGAGCAGGGGCTGGAGTCGAGAAGCAAGGGTGTGTCCGTGCCTGGCATTTGGCATCTGACAGGACGGGTGGGGATGACCCAGAAAGATGCCCTGGGTAGAGGGTCTGCATTCGCTGAAGGTGGTTATTTCCGGAGGGCAGATCCTCGCCAGCTGCCCCTGCTGGTGAGCGTGGACCCGCTCACTTCCTACTACAAATCCCAGCTGTCCTCCCCCAACCCTGTCCTCCAGGCCAGCGGAGAACCAGGACGGAGTGCCGGGCCCACCCCGCCCTCTCCCTGGAATGCACAGTCCTGCCCTCATTGGGGCCCACTTGTCCAGCTGTAAGGCTGTGTGACCCCATGTTCTGGGCTCCGGGCACCCTGACACAATGTGCCTACCTCTGCTCAGGGATTGTCCCTGTCCTCAGCTTACGCCCCAGTCACCTCCACACAGACTCCTGACACCACCATCTCCCTCATGATCCCACGTTTGCAGGCGGTGCTACATCAAACAGTCCCTTTTCTGGGCTGCCTCTGTGTGTGTGTATGTGTGTGTGACTTAATTATGTGTATGGATTACACCTCAATATAAAAAAAAAAATCCTCACAACTGGACTGATAAGCAAAATC